GTTATAAATAACATTATAAATGTTATAAAACATTCAATATTCATTTAGGAGGTTCTGGAGATTACACAAATCAAATTTCACAAGTTTCAGATAAAGAAAAGTATTTTTAATCTTGACATGAAAATCACTTTGCACTTGGAGCAGTCAACACTCTGACTCCATATATTCATGGAAAAAGTTTTTGTAAAAATAATTTAAAAAAGTATATTTTTTGTGTACAAAATACTTGTAATGTTTACTAAAAGCTTGCAGATTTCATTACGGAACATTAAGTACTTTCAGAGTTTATAGTATGTATACCTTCATGCTTTTGTAGTGGTTACGAGAGGGTTAAAAGCAGCGTGGTCTTTATAATGAGAAAAATTTTGTCAGATTTTACCAATCAGTAAAAGTTAAAAGCTATGTAAATTAGTAACACCATCAGATATTCACTCCATGTCACATGGTATGCAGATACCATATATATACCTTCACAAAATTTGTAAATGTTTTTGAAACAATGTAAATCTGGTTGAGATGTGCTAATTCACCTCTAGGTGGTACTTGCTGTAAAATTATTTGGTCAAGAAGGTTGTCTACTGTTAATTGGGATAGTTATATGGTCTTCTACATCACTGTGTGAGAGTTCATATAAAGGTTGAGTATATTACATTAATCAATTTTGGAGCCTCGCCACATCCCTTTCTCTGGTCTTGCTTTATTTGTGCATCTTGACAATAGCCCTACAGCATAGTTTCCACTCCTAAATGCTGTGATGTCCAAGGTATAATCCTCTTCCTCTGTGCTTTTCTTAATTTATCTAGTATAAAAGGATGATAGCTTCCCAGCATCAGTTTCAACACTTCAATTGTAGAAAAATCCATGTTTTCATATACAATAGCATGAATATTTCTGGAGCTGCTTGAGGTATACAACAGTTGAACTGACGTGTTGTAGAAGCAACTCGTGTACAGGTGAATTGTGTTCCTTTTCCAAATGGAGATCCTCCTTGATCATGTTATATGCTGTTGCCCAAGACAAATGGATGGACTTTCCTACTGATCTTTGTGTTCCTTTTCCAAATGGAGATCCTCCTTGATCATGTTATATGCTGTTGCCCAAGACAAATGGATGGACTTTCCTACTGATCTTTGTGTTCATGTTACAAATGGAGATCCTCCTTGATCATGTTATATGCTGTTGCCCAAGACAAATGGAGATCCTCCTTGATCATGTTATATGCTGTTGCCCAAGACAAATGGATGGACTTTCCTACTAATCTTTGTGTTCATGTTACAAATGGAGATCCTCCTTGATCATGTTATATGCTGTTGCCCAAGACAAATGGATGGACTTTCCTACTGATCTTTGTGTTCATGTTACAAAATGCTGCACTTTGCTTAACACAGCTGGGAAAAGACTTTTTAAAAGTGTCTTTCTGGATGGTCCTGGCACTCCAAGTTAATTACAAAAGATAGTCCTGTTTTAAAATTCTAAATCCACCATCTTTATTATCTGAGTGTTAGAAAGGGCAATCAATTTTTGGTGATATCATCTATAAAATTCAAAATTGTAAAATGTAGTTCTGACACATGCCATTCCACTGTGATTTTATATTGGCTGATATTATGTAAATTGTTGATTTTCATATATTCCCAGCCCTCTGTGTTATGCTTCAATATTTTTTATCTAAATGCTGATTTATAAAGCAATTTGAAAAATTCCAAAATTAAAGTGTTTTCAACTAAATTTAGCCAACTCTTTGTTAGTCATTACTACCAAATTCTCCTGTTTTTTATTATTAGTATTCAAATTTTTTTGTCTTCAATGTTACACCATTTCCTTTTGGTTTTCTGCTGTATAAAGATTATCTGATAATGTTTAATGCTGTTTTAAAAGTGGAAGTATTAAACAACAATATATCAAGCACCTAAATTTAATGTGATAAAACCACCAAGAAAGTGTTTGCAACCCCTTAAATATGTAATTAAACATTCTGAATATTAAATACAAATAACTAACAATCATTACCATGAAATAATAAATTAAATATGGATCAATGATAAAATTAAGATATGAAACACATCAAATAAAATGTCTGATACAAATTAATTGCAATGTATATTTTATTAACAGACTACACTTTTACATAATTATGTTGTTTGGATCTCCAAATGTAACACCTTCAAATAACCTGCTTACCATGAAAAAAGTGACTGTAAAGATTTTACAGAACAAATAATGGAATGCTTTCAATCTTCACTTAATAAATCTTCATCCAAGTTTATTTCCTGCGAGAAAAGACAAACACAGTTTTTGTAAATCTCTCCGTTAAGAATACACGTGTGTGCAAGGAAACACTAAAATATACAAACTCATCTCATTTTATAGGCAGTAACAGAATTTAACTATGTCAAGAAAAAATTATAACCTGATAATCAGAATGAGAAATTAAGTGATAGTAAAATATCACACACAAATGTAAGCGCAGCAAATAAAAAAATTCCAAAAACATGCTGTGAGGAGCCTAACATAAACAACCAATGCCTGAATACAGATACCTTAGAAAGGAGATCTAACTTCTAAGCTGTGTAAAGAAACAAAACTAAGCAAGAATAAGGTGTCCTTCAACAACAAGTCATGTAATGTAAAACAGAATCAAAAGAGTGCTACAGTTGGTGTGGGCTCTGATGGATGTATCCTCTGAATGATGTATGTTATAACATCTAATCCAGGTGCAAGGAAGGTTATATCCCAAGGATGTTAATAATGGAGTGAAGACTGTCTCAAGGTCATTATTCAAGTTGGAAAGACTATCAAATTGGCCTTAGCATTTTGAATATCACTGCAATATAATCAAACTGAGTTTTTTCCATCTAGCTAAACAATAAACTAGTAAAATTCTAACCCTTTTGGTATTTTCTGTCCTTAAAATATTTTTGTTGTTTTAATAAATACATAGGTGATTTTGCATAGCTTAAATACTGAAGAAGCTGTCTCAAGAATACCATGAACAGTCAAGAAGCTCAAGAACATAATTAATAATGAAATCTCTCTCCCAAATATATCATTAACATTTTTCTCAAGAACACCACAAACAAATGAAAATATAATGTAAATAAGGCACAGGAGTGAAATAAAAAGACATTAAAAAGTAAAGAGAGGAACTCATCTGTTAGCTGAACATAAATAAAACCACAGTTTAAACAACACATTTACTGATGGGTCAAAACAAAACCACAGTATAAACAACACACTTACTGATGTGTCAAAACAAAACCACAGTTTAAACAACACAATTACTGATGTGTCAAAACAAAACCACAGTTTAAACAACACAATTACTGATGTGTCAAAACAAAGCCACAATTTAAACAACACACTTACTGATGGGTCAAAACAAAGCCAACATTTAAACAATACACTTACTGATGGGTCAAAACAGAGCCAACATTTAAACAATACACTTACTGATGTGTCAAAACAGAGCCAACATTTAAACAATACACTTACTGATGTGTCAAAACAGAGCCAACATTTAAACGACACTTACTGATGTGTCAAAACAGAGCCAACATTTAAACAACACTTACTGATGTGTAAAACAGAGCCAACATTTAAACAACACTTACTGATGTGTCAAAACAGAGCAAACATTTAAACAATATGCTTACTTATGTCAAAAAGAACCACAATTTAAACAGTACACTTACTGATGTGTCAAAACAGAGCGAACATTTAAACAGTACACTTACTGATGTGTCAAAACAGAGCGAACATTTAAACAGTACACTTACTGATGTGTCAAAACAGAGCCAACATTTAAATAGTACACTTAATGATGTGTCAAAACAGAGCCAACATTTAAACAACACTTACTGTTGTGTCAAAAGAAAGCCACAATTTAAACAACACGCTTACTTATGTCAAAACAGAGCCACAATTTAAACAGTACACTTACTGATGTGTCAAAACAGAGCAAACATTTAAACAGTACACTTACTGATGTGTCAAAACAGAGCCAACATTTAAACAGTACACTTACTGATGTGTCAAAACAGAGCCAACATTTAAACAACACTTACTGATGTGTCAAAACAGAGCCAACATTTAAACAGTACACTTACTGATGTGTCAAAACAGAGCCAACATTTAAACAACACTTACTGTTGTGTCAAAACAGAGCCAACATTTAAACAACACTTACTGTTGTGTCAAAACAGAGCCAACATTTAAACAACACTTACTGTTGTATCAAAACAGAGCCAACATTTAAACAACACTTACTGATGTGTCAATGTTTTCATCTAAGACCAAGTTGTTGATGTCTAGCTCCAATTCTTCTTCAATTTGGGAAATATCCACAGTACCCACATTTAGTTCTTCCACATTCTCATCTCTGTCTCTAGGACTAAGTTGTTCTGGACTAGGATTCTAAGCAACAGTATATGTATAGCTTACTAAACTCTGTGTACTTCACATGTAAAATACCTGATTTAAAAGTAATGGTTTAATTAACAATCCACACATATTTTCAAGAAAGAGCCTCTCTAATTCGATAAACTACTTTCAGATTATAATTATAGGAATAAATGAGGTTTATTTACATTCTCGAAGACGTCTTCATCAAGATTAAAAATACTTAACTTCACACACTTTTCTTCACAATAAACCTAGACATCGATAACAGAATGAAATCAATACAGTGAAGTTGTTTAGTGTTTAAAATTTACTTCTTAAGCAGATTTTTTTTTCAGTAAAATGCTGCTATAAAGCAGAACGTTTAGAAGTTCGTTTTTGGTGAGTACGTAATTGATATAATTTTTTCTTATTATTTAAGTTTCAATAAATAGAACAAGAATGAAATTAAAATGTTGACGTATTATCACTTTACCTTAACTTCTTTCAGCGTATCTGCTACAGAATACTCAAACTTTCCAGCCACTTCAGCTTCCTGCATTTCACTTACCACATTTCTCTCATGAGTCATCTATTAGACAAACATGAAATTTCTGTAATTCTCATTTGTAAATAAAAAACGTTGGATTTCAGTAATTCCTATGTATTAAAATTTTTTTAATGCAGTGACAATCCATTTCAGAGTAATGTCTTGAAAAAAAATGTGAAAATTCAATATAATTTCTTTGACAATGCGAGATGTAAGCAACAAAATCAGTAGATAAATACAGAACTTCAGTAACAACTGATTAAAATGTGAACTTTCAATACTAGATAATACGTCATCAATCAAAAATGTTCCAGTTCAGTATAATAATTATCAGTTAAAATATGAAATTTCATATCATATCATGAGTTATATGTCAAAAGTATATGACTTCAGTAATAATTCTTCCACACATTAAGAAATAAGTTTTGTTGAAACTGTTTAAAAGTAGGTTGGGAAGTTATAAATTTATGTTAAAGAAAATCATAAAAATTACAGGATGTGTCAGATAATTAGCTGCTGGTGATAAATTCCCACTTTCTTTCTTCAGGTATATTTCTGCCTTGATTGCTTCTTGAAGTCCAGGGAAGAGATTTTCATATTCTTCTGGATCAGCTAAAGCTTGGGCTGTTTTTTCGTTACTTTTCATGACACCTGCTTTCCACAGCTTTACTACCCTATAGAGAGAAAAACAAAACAAAAAAAAACTCCTTAAAACTCCTTCTGAAAGTTTTAGGGGGAAAAATAACTTTGCTAAAATGAATGTAAACTACTGAAACCACAAACACACTGTCTTAAAACTGGGATCGTTTTCTTTCTAACAACCTGCTTGAATTAGAGCTCCCTTTTTCCTTAGGTGGATTATACTTTTCTAAATTTTTAGTTATTATTTAGAAGCCTTCAAATAAATTAATCATTTTTAGCCACGGCATAGCGGCTCGTAGAATGGCTCAGAGTTTTTTTTTTCCAAAACAAATTTTTAGCTCATAGCTTCATCACTTCTTGACTGATTTGAAATCTAATTACAGTTTTGGACTCAGAAGGTCAAACCCGTTTGATTGATGTATTTGACTATGCCAAAAGTCTCATAGATTAATATACTTTAATCCTGCCTAAATGAATTTCAATTTAAGGGTAGGCTGGTAGAGATCCTGATGAGTAATAAAATCGAATCGGGTATATTTGTTTGATATTGCTGGTGGAGAAAAATATTGCTAATAAAAAAGGGGGGAAAAAGGTCTTACAGAATAATTTATTCTAATCCTGCCTAACAGAATTTCAAGTGCAGCAGCTATTGAGGATTCCCTCGTTTTTAATAGTATGTAAATGCAATAAATTAATTTTACTAGTTCCTCTGCTTGTTTATTTTGTTGAATTAATTTCTTTGTCGGTTACTTTTTGTATTAAAAATATTCCCACTGGTTATTTCAAACTGCCCTGTAGATTACAGAGGTTCTTCGAATAAATAAGATATTTTAAGATATCAGTTTTAATGATACATATTTTATTGTAAAATTTAGTTCAATAAAGTATCTAGGAGATGACATCATTAGATCTGTGACTGTACAAATGCTTGTGTGAAATCTGGGTTTTTAGGGCAACAATTACAAGCGTATTGAATAATAAAATTACTATGTTACATAGTGGTTTTATTTCTTATAAGTTGTAAATTTATAAAAAAAGTTAAAGGTCAAAATTTGTTTAATAGTTATCTTGTTTTATCTTTGAAGCATCTTTGCTTCACATATGGTGACATAATTAATCTTTATCCTTGCAAATTCAGAAATGGTAATGCCATTGGATTGGAAAAGGTTAAATGTGATATATATATAAACACATGCACAAATTTTCCATGTTCTTAGAGGAATGGTTGGGAAATATTCCTTACCTAAATTTGTAACAAAAATCAATTAACTTTCCCTTTTGCTACAGGTCAAATCGGCCAAGTTCATAACCCCAATTTGACCTCTATAGTTTCCATAGTCTTGTGTATTTTCACAAAATTGTGCAAGCTTTCAGTAAACATGAAGTTATTTGTAGACAAACAGATCAGAATTTTTAATGAAGTATTTTCACTGAAAATTTCTCCATGAATACATGGAGTCAAAGTGTTGAATGCTGTGAGAGCAAAGTGATTTTTATGTTAAGATTCAAAATACTTTTCCTCATCTGAAAAATCTCAAATTTCACATGCATATTCTATAAAACATCCTAAATACATTTCAAACGTTTTTTTTTTGTTAAACTTTATATTTTGTCCATTACTTTCTCTACCCTAACTTTATACGAGGTCAGTCAAGTCGACCCACCTCATAACCACCAAAAAAGAAATTGAAGTAAATCTAAATTACCCCTTTTTTCTTTCTAGAATGACTTCAAATTGTAACATGAAACTACATTTGTTTATCCTAAGTAGCTTTAAACTTGTAACAGTATACATCTATTTATCCTTAAAGTTTAATGTTATACTGCCCTTTGAACCATGCCTAACTAATATTTGTGCCATGTATGTTGTAAGTTACTTAATCAAATTGTATAACGCACAAGCTACTTACAAAATTACCTCATGAAATTCTTTTATTATTATTCTATAGTTTACGTAATCTAACCTAAAAAGTTTTTAATTTTTACATTTTAGTTACTTTTATGATAATAAATAAAGAATACAAGAAATAACTTACCCAGTACTTTTTTTTTCGCTGTTGACTGTCAATGACAATTAACCCTACCAATTTTTTTTGTATACTAATAGTACTACTGCACTAAAGTTTTTTTTATTAAATTAATTAATGCAACAAAGAACACAGAATAATATCATACAAAAAATCAGACAATGTCTCACAAGTATCACAATTTTTCTGGCTTTCTATCTATGTGACAAGAGACATTAAAAATTTGGCTAAACTTGTTATTGTTTGAACTGGAAGCAAAATAGGCAATTCTCTGTACAGAAAACAACATAATATAATACATCACTTGATAGTTTAAAACTTTGGATTTCTATTGGTTATAAATGAAATGGTATTAAACGTCAGAGAGAACTATTGGCAATTCCTGAAGGAGAGGATATGACAGGTGAGCATGTCAAGAGGGGGTCCAGTTTTCTAGTTTATGGCTTTGAAAGCAAATAAGATTAAAGGTTAAAAAAACTATGCTTTGCCTGAGTGATGACAACATTATAATGAGTAATTTATGTTAAATTTCATACCTATTGGAGAGGTGGTAAATAAATTAGAGAAGATGGGATGCCCAGAGTACCAATGTCATAAATCTCATGTTAGGGTTAACTGAGGATTTATTTTAATATTCCATATAAAATTAAGAACTTAAATCTTATAAAATATTAAAATTTGGATTATTAAATATGTTTTTATACTACTTGTATACCATGATAAGAAAGTAGTTTAATTAAGTTTAGAATGTAACTCATTAAACCCTCATGACATGCACAGAAAAAAGATGCCTGTAGTGTAAGTATTAAGATTTTCAATCTGTCTTTCAAACCACACACACTGGAAGATAGCTATTATGAAAAGCTGTTGTTACATCCAACATGTTATACTGAAAAGCAAAAACATAACAGTTCCAACATATGAATAACACTTTTTCTCTAATTGAAAAATTACCAGAATCTTACCTAGAAATTTGGCTTGGGAGATATGTGCGAGCAAAGAAGGCTGCTTCAGGTAGCCTGCTGGTGTTTATCAAGACTTCCAAAGCCTTCTCTTTTCTAGAAATAAAATGGTACTTAGTGTTTGTGAAAATAAACCCAAATTAATACAATGTTCCTAATTACAGGTAATTAGGTAACTATGAATTCATCTTGACACTAATTAATAAAGAATAAGTTTGTTAAAATAGTGTAGATATATTAGACAATGACTACAATCAAAACTCATACCTGTCAAGACACATTGATTAAGCTTCAGTGGACTTTGCACTTTTGATCTACTTAGCTTACAGTTCTGACAGTGTAGATATATCAGACAATGAATAGAGTCAAACTAATAGCTGTCAAGACACATTGATTAAGCTTCAGTGGACTTTGCACTTTTGATCTACTTAGCTTACAGTTCTGACAGTGTAGATATATCATACAATGAATAGAGTCAAACTCATACCTGTCAAGACACATTGATTAAGCTTCAGTGGACTTTGCACTTTTGATCTACTTAGCTTACAGTTCTGACAGTGTAGATATATCATACAATG